AATTTAGAACAGCCCCCATATGCATCCATCTGCAGTCAATTTTCAGGGGCTCCTGCTCTGAATATTTAGGACAAGAAGTCTGGCAAAACTGGGGCTGGGGTATGCATCCGCTGTTTCAACCAGGTCTGTTTTTGCGACTGATGGGCTGGGCTCTGCTTCCTACCCAAAGCTAGCTTAAGCTGCATTGGCCATGCTGACCTCTATCGCAGGCCGATGGATGCGGAAGGGGAACGCGAGGAGCTGAAGTCACAGCTTCCGGCCACCTGGCTCGAGTTCTTTCTCCTCGCGTGAAGGGGGTAGGACATGGTAAGACTGTAGCGGAAGGTCTGGATGCGTAAAACGAGGGCTGAACAAACATTTAGACCCCCTCAATTCTGGAGCACGTGGGAGGCCTTAGCGCCTCCCCGAGAGGCGAGGACCCAGAGAAGCACCGAGGCTTTTTTCAGGCCTCTTAAGGTTTTTAAGGCCTCGCAAAGCCTCAGAACCGCAGACAGATGGGCCTCAGTAAAGGCAATCCTCAGAAAAGTGACACAACATGGCCCATACAATCCCAGTGGAATGCCCTCAGACCACCCAAAAACCCAGAAGTGCACAGAATCCTGATAAGGAACAAACTGCGATTCATCCCTGCAAAACTATTCAAAATCTGAGCACATTTGAACACCAAGCGCTGCGGCATGACGTTCTGCCAAGCTTTGCCTGCTTGCAGCTCCCAAGTCTAAGCCCTTTTCACGAGATCTGTTAGCTGACCTTGCCTGCGTGCGCTCTGTGCGTTCTGACAATTCCCGCAAGCTTACATCAACAAATAGTATGTAAAACACGTCGTTCTCACATCTTGTATCATCTTAACACTTTTAAAATCCCAGACACAAATACACATGAGCCCCTAAGCAAAGACCTCTAAGTACACTAGTTTGCCATAAGCTTAATTTTTGACGCCATGCAGTATGCAGGAGTTGTCTGTCTTCGTGAAATCCGAAACCGTTTTTTTGGACGCTGCCTGTAAGCACTCTTGACACTTTCCAGTAAGAACCTGGGGAGATGGCCTGCCTCCAATTCTGGAAGGCCGTCGCAGCAATTGAACAGAGGCTCCTTGCAATTTGTGCCGACTATCTGCCAGACAGCTTGCCTTGAGGCTGGATACGAGATGCAGGGAGAACCTCTCAATGGCAAGGTTTTCGCGTCAGGTCACTTTCACCAAGGAGTGGTGAGATTGTCCCTGGCCTTTTGACTTTCCCTTTGCTCCATGCAGAGAGATGCAGAGGAGCCCACCACTACGTCAAGATCGTTCACACCCGCCTGGAGAGCAATGACCATGCCCGGCTCTATCTCTACACGTGGCCTGGCTGCGCCTAGTTGCAACTCATGTCGATTGTTCTTCAAGCTATATGGGCTTGTGCCCAGGCACCAGTGGTATATGCAGACCTACCCTCGACATGAGTCGCCGAAGGTGCAGCGCAGAATCTTGGGGATGTGTGTTTCGCTATGTAGGGTGGTGATGTGGAGTGATTCTTCAGGGACGTTGAGTTGCTAAAGTGCGTGCCCTGCATTTTCGTTTGTGCCGTTTGAGCTGGTCACCGAAGGTCAAACTCTCGTTTGATCTGGCACCGGTGGAGGTGGTGATTTCGCAGCGTCGCCACTGGCGCCCCCAGGGTTCAGAAAACAACAGCTCGGAATATGATATGACTACTACAACTACTACCACGATAACAACGATGATGACGATGACGTCGATGACTACTACTGCTACTACTGCTACTGCTGCTACTACTGCTACTGCTACTACTACTGCTACTGCTACAACAACAACAACAACAACTACTACTACTACTACTGCGACTCACTGCGCCCGGCAGGAAACACACCTCAAATCAGCCAGTTGATTCTGTGTAATACCGTGTGCAAAGCTCTTGGTCAGCAATTCTTTGCTAGATCCTGCAGCATGAAGTGTGCATGTGCGGAGGTACGATTTCGTTACAACAACGCTGGCGCTTGTGGGCGGTGGGTTCTCATGTGTGCAAATGGCTTACTCCGTTTTCGAGGGCTTCTCAGGCAGCAAAATTGCGCCGATAGTTTGAACATCTGCGAGAAACAAGAGCATGCTTGCATAGATTTTGCTCCTGTATATGCCTTACGCAATTTAGTGTAACGAAGCTGCATCTCAAGTAGTCTAGCATGGCTGCTGCTACTTGGCTCAGCAGCTTGCCGAGCGTAGCCGTGCCTTTGCCAAGGCTCCGTCATGTCGTGCTCCCGACCTGGGATTGTTAAATGTTGAGCTATGCCATGTGAAGTGATATTCTATATAACCCCAATATATACCCCATATAAATGCCCAAATACCCCATATAACCCAATAAATACCCTTGTTTGATGAAATCTTTGCAAGTTGTCAGGTACTACGCCGGCCCCACTGGGCACCCGGCTGGGGGTCGCCTCTTCCGGCACAAGCTAACGCCTCAGGAGGAGGCCCCCTGTGCTTGGACTTCGAATTTGAACGGCTCCCTTTGCACCCTTTGGACCTAAACGCCCTTTGCTTGTCTTGCAGCGCCACAGGAAATCATCCGGGTATCCTTTGATGCCTTCAGCCAGGCCATGCCTTTTTCTCTTTTGATTGCAGCTGCGGCCTTGAGACTCCGCGAAAGGAAGAGCTGAACGATAAGGGTGAGACCATCAAAGACGCGAAAACAGGGGAACCTGTGAGAGTCATCACCATAGAACCTCGACGGCAAGAGCCCCATGCGCTAAATTTTCCAGTGCTCGCAGGCGGCCTGAGAGACAAGATGCTATCCGCAGCCCACTCTGCGATTTTGATTGGAAAGTAAATTTGTGTATACGTGAAGACATTCTGAGTGAGCAGCTGAACGTTAGTCTTGTCAATTCTGCGCGGTGTCAGGCGCCAGCCCAGAACAAAACGGGCTCCCATCGTTGAACCCTTTCCTGAAACAAATCCGTGGGAGCCCGAAGAAAGCATAGCAAGTCCTTGAGTCCTACCAAAACCCTTCTCTGAGTTGGTGCATAGCTAGATATTCTCACACCTGTGACTTGGAATCACTTGGAATCAACAGGATGACAAAATCCCCAAGTAATTTGACTGCTTCGTAGGTCATTTCAAGAGCAGGAAGGTCCTCCCTCCTGCTGTCGTTACGTTTGTTCGTATCTGAACCCTTTCCTCAAGCATTTCGGAGACACATGCTCGTGCTCAGGTGTGTTAGGGACCCCACCGCTCGCAGAAAAAAGCTCGACCTATGGTTGTGTGCACAGGTGTCGCCCATGCTTCAGACCAGAGGGCCTGCTCTTTCCATACTTGCTCTTGGAGTGTTCCTGACACATGCGTTTGAATCCCGCCTCTCCGCCCGCTAACTTTATTCAAGCCGACCGTTTATCCAAGACCGTTTGATATTTTGGGCGCAGCGTATGCTAGCTTTTTGGTGGAGCTTTCTTGCTGGCTCTGAACGAAGGAATCGCTGCGACAAGCGTTCACGCAGATCGATGCTTCCAGCGACATCCACGATGTCCAGCTCATGGCCCGCCATCAGAACCGAAGAATTGCACTTGCATTGGTGTTGTTTGGTGTCTGTGCAGATTGATGACATCGATGCGAACAACGATGGCAGGCGAGCAAAAAGCTTTTTGAGAGTAAAGCGAGCCTTCAAAATTGGTAGAGCAAGCGAAGTCTCGCCAGGATTGACCAGAATGAATGGCGAGGCATCATGAGCCGTGTCATAGCTGCAGCAAGGATTGCAACCTCTGGCAGCGACCTAGTGCAAAGCTAGATGATCGAGGAAAGCTTCTGGGCGAAGACAGCCTGACCTCTGCGCCGCACACCTTTGAGGCCGGTTCTTCGCTTTAACAGCTCGCAGAGCAAGACATCCAACTGTGCTTCAGGCCCTGGACGACAACAAGGACGGCAGTAAATAGCATGCGATATGGAGTGGCTTGCATCTTCAGTTCCCGAGCCGAGTGCCTGGCAAATGTAGACTCAGATGTTGGAATGTAACATCTCTGGGCAGGGGATCCTGTAACCCTCCGCCCTTCAAGCATCCAAGTCGTGAGAATCCCTGTTCTCAAGGATGACTACATCCCCGCAGTAGAGCTTCGGGCGCTGCTTATGAAGGAGGCTCTATCCAAAGGGAAGAGGTGAGATCAAGGAGTTGGCCTCATTCCTGCTGTGATTGTTTGCCTCCTGGAAAGCAAGTGTGCTCAGAAAACGTGAAGCACAGTGCGTTAGAACAGACAACTTGCAGCCATACAGATTCTGCTCAGGGCAGGATACAACTGACATCAGCTACTGTAGGTACACCTTGCTGGCAGTCCAGCAGTATACCCTTGTACAAAAGTAAACTGCCTAAACCCTAAATTCTGACCTTGGATCAGCTGTTCACTCTTCCCGTACTTGTGCCAGGGCCAGGCGCCCCTCAGCGAGCAGGAGGTTGACGAGCTGCTGCTCTTTGCCGACCCGGAGATAGGGGCTTTTTGGGTAATTAGTTAGAAAAACAGGGCAAGGCAACTAGCCAACTAACATTTGCTTCATTTGTGGGGTGCTTGCTCTGGATTTTGGGTCGTACCACGTGCAGGACCATGATGGCCTTGTGAACTACAAGGAGTTCTTGAGGCCACTCGTTCGGTTGTTGTCGTTGTTGTGTGCAAAGGCCTGAAGTTCGAAAACAAGACATTGCTTTCATCTCCAGGTGGCTGAACAACCCATACCTGCACCACAGCTACAGCGACTGAAGCCTCACAACCAGGCCTCTCAGCATGTTGGGACACAGCCTTGGCCTTGTAGGTAAGTGGTGAAGCCAACGTGAGATTTGGGGTTCGTCTGCATAGGGCATGTGCGCATGATCTCTTGTGCCGGGCTGTAGAGGTGCGCTGCAGACCTCCAACGGGATCTTCGTCTGGCAGCCTGCGACGCCCGGTTGGAATGCCAGGATGCATGAGCACTGTGGGAGATCACAGGGTCACAAATGCCATTCTTACTTGATGCTGAGGATGTCAGGCGCTGCTGGGGAAGAGCCGGGTGAGGATGCCTTGTGCGGTGCAGGCATATGTCTCAGAATGTAGAAAATGTACTGTCAGATATTTTGCCAGCCTGCGGGAAGCTTTCACCTTTTTTTTGTTTCTCGTGGGCAAGAGCTGCCGGCCAGCACGATTACGGATATTACGGCACGGATATGTGAGCACAAGCAGTATTCTGATGGTGCTGCATCTAGCAGGAAGTGATTGTTCTTGGGTGGAAGGTCGCAGCGCCCAAATTTGCATACTGCGCATTTGTATGCCAGACTTTGTCTCACCGAAAGCCGGGCTTGATACCCAGGCTTCTCAAGATCCCGCCCTCATATACATTGAGGGTAGGCGCAGACTGGGCGTCTCCGAGCCGAGAAACGAAGCGTCGCATCAAGGTTTTCGACGGTTTTGGACGATTTGCTTTGAAACTCCAGCTCCTGGGCTTGGGTTACATGGTGATGCAAGTATGTGCCGACCAGCTTTGGTGTCCGTCCCCAACATGGTCTCCTACCGTTGTCAGAAGGAAGCCAACTCAGTCACACTGTATGCCATCAATCTGAGGATATCATTTTAGGAATCTAAGAGCTTCAGATTGGTTCAAGTTCCTGTACCCTGGCTTGAGAGGATAACTGCACATCACAAAGGTGGACGCTCGAATCTTGGCCATGGGGCGGCGACCAGGGGCCTTCTCTGCATCCCTCTCGCAGGAGTTGAAAGAGCTATGCGAGATTGCCCGTAGTATTCACGCACAACTGACAGTCACTCCAATCACATTGTAGGGACCTGCTCGCGCAAGCTTGTGCCTGTTGCTGCTCCTCGTAGCACCTGCATCCACCTTCTGTGTCCAGGTCTCTTGAGAACTAGGGGACTGTTGCGGCATGGTATCATCCTGCATCCACCGTTCCAGGTCTCGACCTTTGCAAGATTCAAGGCAATGTGGCTTCTTCCATGTCCTCGCCCATCCTTCGTTGGCGACCCCTAAACCCTAGGGCAAAAAACCGAGAGAGAGAAGCCTTATAACATACAGCTTAAAACCCCTGAAGCCTGGCTCCCAAATGCTTGCTACTTGGAGGGTCATGGGGACTTAGCAAGTAGGTCATAGCCATCCTATTTATCCCCATATATCCCCATTATTCACCCACTCACTAAGTCCCCCTGACCCTCAGCCCCAAACCCTAAATATCTAAATATCATAGTGGTTTCCATTTTCCTTTCCATTATTATTATGCAACTGTAACCCATATCGTATACTACGTAGGCCCTCCTGTGTCAGCCTCAGGAGGACCGCGAAGCACAGGCCGAGCTGCTGGCCTTGCGCGGCCATCTTCCGAAGCAGTTGGAGGTTTCACCCCACGCGTTTTACGGTTAAGGGCGCGCGTCTACGTTTTTAAAGCCTTCGATCCATTGAGCATTGGGTGAGCATTGCAGTTTCCAGAAAAGATGCTGGAAAGGTTTTTTGCTGTTTGTACTGGTGGGGCCACAGTCGCAAGGAGCCTGAAGACGAGCCGGAAAGCCACAAGGACTGCAGCACTTGGCAAAACAATTTATAGCATCAATGGACACGTTCGGACACGTTTGAAATGCAGTGCGAAGCTGAGATTGTCCTCGTGCAGGATATTCTTGACGAAGCTGGCTTCGTGCTTGATGAGAAGCTCGTCATTGTTTGTATTCTCGGGTTTCGAGTTGTTGACGACTACGCCGCTTAAGCGCGGCGTGAAGCGCAACGGTTTTGAAGTGCATTCAGGGTCTGTGTCATGCCATGTGCCGTCGGACAGGAACAATCCTCTCATTTATGTGTCCGGGGATGAAGCATCGCGAGCAGATGGTGTCCCCTACGTAGTCGTCTACAAGACCCTTGGATGAACTGGATGCAGGAAGGCTGTTAAGATAGATGAAACATCTTCTCGTGAGCATGTCAATCATTCCATGGAGCAGCGGATGTGGGCGATCTTTGTATGTTTTCCCAGGAAAGTGGCCATTCGAAAAACGCCTTCTACAGAGTCGCATGTGCTGGGAGCGTTCGAAGCTGGAGATCAATTGACCCTTTTTGTTGCTCGGCCAACTACGACAGGAGAGTAGCATGTTGCAGGGTAAGGTTGCCTCCTAGGTTGATCCTCACAAATGGCCCAAGGATGCCGGAGTTTTTTCTCGCAATTATGCAACTAAGGAGACTGATGTTACAGGGGCCTGGCGGAAACTCCACTTTAAGCTCAAAGGTGGCTACGGCAGCCTTGTGGAGGCTTCAATGCTTCTTGATTCGCGACGGCTGAGTCGGCAATGTCCAGGCTTGGGTGATGCTTCGGCACCATAAGCTTGGAACTTTGGTCCAGCGAACGGACGGGAAGAGCGAAAAGGAGGCCAAGGTGCCGGGAAACTTATCAGGCATGCTTCTTTTTATGAATCGGAGACAATTTTCTAGTGCAGAGGAGCCAGCCTTCGCTCCGGAGACGACCGTCCCGGTGATGACTCCAGAAGCTGCCGTCGCTACTGAGGCTGAAGAAGGGCAGCCGGAGGTTGAGGCAGATGATCACATGTCTTGATCATTCTCCTATGGTGGACAGCCTTTGCCTGCTTGCATCGCCCTGTTATCCTGTTCCTGAAGACCCATCGCCAGTTCCTCGAAGGATCCTGACAAGACTGCAAGAGCTTCAGCTTTGGCAGCTGAATTTGGCGAGCGCCTCATGCTCATGGAGGGGAAGGACTCATGAGCATTGCTGCCAGCTGTTAGGTGTTGTTTCGACGTATTGTGCCTGAAGGACGTGCGCCGATTCATGCCGACGGAAAACCGCAGAAGTTTCGAGGTGGTCCGAAAGCCCGTGGTGGCCGTGAGAACCATGCCCCACAAAGACGCCCTGATAGCCGCTTTGACCAAACAAACCGCCCTTCTGAATCATCTGTGATGTTGACCTCCTGGTTGAGGTAACCACCGCAGAGTACGGGCGGTTCGTCGACACTTTCGGTGTGGATGATACGGGCGAATGGCGCAAGGTGCAGCATGCAAGCCAGTGCTTGCAACATCTTGGCTTGGCTTTATCTTCAGGTATTTTGCTGCTGCACATCATCTGGGCGTGAGGCACGGCAGCCTAAAGATCCATGTTTGAGCTGCTGTATGCTGACTGCGCAAGTCGACCCAAACACTTTCTCATCGGGCAGGATGTGCCACTTCCGGACGCACCCTTGCCAGCATGGATGCTCGAGAAGCATGAGACCTTGGGTGTCTTGTTGAGGTGCAGACATCATCAGAAGCTTTTGCTACATCCATGCCCAACAGCTTTGAATTTGACATGCAGATTTTGGGGCTAGAACAGCCGGGATTGAAATCGTTCCGCCAGCAGCCAGCAGGCCAGCTGATGATGCGATGCGGCCTGTGAGCAGCTAATGGTGCCTGCGCAAGTTAAAGCAGCATCAGTATAGCAGAAAGGCACACGGCAAGCAGGAAAAGAGCGGGCTCCCAAAGCCACCTTTGTCGCTGGGTACATGTTGCACTGACAACCAGCGATATACTGCATGTTGTCCGATGCACCAAGCCTCTCAGGTCTCTCGCTTCTCTTGGGCTGTGGCAAAGCTCGCCTTCACGGATGCTGCTGTCACTGAGCGCCTTGCCAATGAAGCAGCTCCCTGGCTTTTTTTTTGGCATCAGCTTGCTTGTGCGAGAGTGCCGCAGTGCGTTCTGCAAGGCTGATCGCGTTCGCGAGTTTCAGGCGGTGAACTTGGCGCCCCGACCTCAGCATGGTTGCGGGGGCAAGTTCTGCGTTTCAGCCTATGTTGGGGTTTCAGGGAAAAGTGTTGGGTTTCAGATCTGGGTTTCATGAGAAGAAGATCTTCAGATCTCAAGTTGCAAGTTAAAGGATGAGTGAGATCGGAACTTCAAAAAGCCGTGGGATAGACTACGCTAGGGAATTTTGTTGACACCCGGTACTCTCATGCGATGCGCTGGACAGGCACGCGCATCAGCAATATTTTCAACGCCTGACCTCTCTAATCATGCGATTCAACGGATCGGGAGCAGAGCCATGGGGCAGACTTTCGACAAAAAGACAAACAGAAGGGAGCTTCATAATCCACGGCCCTACAGTTCAGCTGCGCAATAAAGGGTGTGTCATCACTTGTATTTCTGCTACGGAAGAAGGGTACCAAGGGCTTGCAGCGATTCGTGCAAAACAACCCATTGACCGATGCTGAAAGTACCCATTCTCGGATGCAAAGCCTGGTGCCAAAGCCAGAGGGCAAAACAGGGTGTCCACGCGTATTCAGATGAGCCGGGGAATTAGAAGGCATGTTGTTAGCTATGCATTCAGGTTCCGTGTGCAGTATTGGGTGGTGCAAACTGCTCGCCAAATTGCTCCAAAAGATAGAATTTGGAGGTTGATGAGTTCTGCGCTGCATGAAGGTTTTGTGAGTGGAGTGGCCGTGACACATGGCTGGCCAAAATGAGCAAGCTATGCTCGGCTGGTTCAAGGTTTTGTGGAGTGCCAGCCCCCTTTCAGCCAGCGCTTCCTCAATCATGAGGTCTACGCCTGCAGCTAGCGGGCTAGCGAGCGTTTCGAGCTCATGGTAACAGTCTTTCATGGCTTCCGAGTCGCTGTGCTTTCACTGTGTTTAGCTGGGCGGCCAGCAGCCGCTTGGACAAACTGTTCGTTGAACGATGTTGTGGATCTGGGCCCAACGAAGCAACTGGACCATTTCTGGCAGGATTATGTCCTGAATTGGTCCGACCTTCATATTGATTCAGGTGCCTCCTTGGAAGACGCTCGGTTTTTTGCCAAGTGGACACGCATATTCACTCAAAGTACAGAGCTTCTGGCAGGTGTGGCAAGCGATTGCCTCTTTGGGCTTTTGACCGTCTTCCTGCAGGGGCTTCCAGCTATCGACTATGAAGGCAGCCGCTCTGAAGCCTTGGATGTCCTCCATGTGATTGCCGAGCTTCTGGCCGGCATCGCCCCAGATGAGATGGAAGATGCTAAAGTGGTAGCTTCCAAAGAAGGCTGGGAGGTAGAAAGGCTGCTCAGCGCCTTCCAGCTTTACCAGGGGGTGCTGGGTGGTGCCGGCAAGGTGCCTTGCTCGGGTCTAAAGATCTTTGTGTACCCCGCACCCGGTACAGGCACGTTGGACTTGGGGCCATCGTATTACTTGCGCTCGGGATCTACAGGTTATCTGACAGGGATGATGGCTAGACCGCTGCAATGCTTATTCGGCATGTACGGGACTGAGCTGCTGTTTCACAATCGATTTCAGCAGGAGGCAGCTGCGTGCAAAACAAGCAACCCGGCAGATGCGGATATCTTCTTTGTGCCGTCCTACTTCAAGTGCATTGAGGTCTTAAACTATTTTGATGTTTTTGATGAGGCAGGATCCGAGGCTGAGACGCTGCTTCAGCAGACGCTGGAGTATGTGCAAAGTTTTGGCCCATGGTTTAATCGCAAGGATGGTGCAGATCACGTCTTTCTGTTTAGTTGGGGCCGCCACCCATGTCGCATCCCTGGTTGGCGAGCAGGATTGCGATCGGCTATGTTCTTGCAGGTGGAGAACCATTGTGAAGACTTAAACTTGGAAAGCCCGGAGCCTTCCTTCAGCCGCTGGAAAGACATCATCATCCCAGGACACGTGGACTTATGGCGGGCGCGTGAACTGATCGGAAAAAACAAGCCCTTGGAAGAGAGGGACGTCTTCATCTCTTTCCATGGCCGACACGCGGGGAACACGGACAGCTACGAAAATGTTTCCGTGCGCACAAGCATTATGAAGGAGTTGTCCGGACAGCCAGGGGTGAGCGTCGGCGGCTTCATAGAGGAATACCATGCCCTCATGGGGCGATCCTTGTTCTGCTTGGCACCTCGAGGTATAACCCCATGGACCATTCACCTATTCGTGGCACTTCTGGCAGGGTGTATACCCATCATTCTTTCTGATGACTTGGAACCCCCGTTCCAAGAATTGCTTGATTGGCCCGAGTTTTCCATCAAATGGCCAACTCACCAGATTGGCGACTTGTATGCGTACCTGAAGTCGATGCCAGTTGCGGAGCTTCGCCGATTGAAGGCAGGCGCAGATGAGAGCGCATGTTGGTTCGACTACTACTCGGAGAGAGAGGGCTGTAATCCGTTTGCCGCTGTGATGACGCTTCTGCAGCGACGTGTTGAGCAGCTACCGCGCTACGCCGGCCTGGCATGGGGTCCAAAATCAGAGGCATTCTGTCCAGCATGTACCAACAACTCCAAGATGCCGTCTGGGAGTCTAGGTCTCCCCCAACATGCCAGATGACAGTGCTTGAAGTGAATCTTGAGCTGAACATGAGTAGCATGCCCTGCCCTGCCCTCGCCAAGGAATGTCTTGTGGGCTAACGCAAAGCTCCTGAACAAGAGCGAGAAGCTGGTGGACAGCTTGTTCATTTCTCAGCATGGTCAGCGGGCATGTCGCCTTTGTGAGCCTTGCTTTCGGGACAACTCTGGCTTGCAGCAAAGAACTGATACCTTCACGCGGCGTCAAGGTGTGGTGCCTCCATGCGCCTCATCGAGGAGTTCAATGCGCTTGGTTCCAAGTATGGATTTGAACCAAGCTGAATTGCAAATGGCATTTGCGACTTGCATCGTTGATGTCAGATGTGGGAAGGAAGTTATTTGGCAAAAGCTCTGCTCCAGGATTTACCAATATTCTACTGGGTAACTGTTATGGATTGTCTACTGCGTGCTGGCTTCAGATCAAAGGCAAAACCTGGCCAATACCGTGTGGGCCATTGCCACGCTGAACTATACGTGTCTTGATCAGCAAGAGCTGTCGCATCAACACTGGGTTTTCTTTCCACTGTATACGGGATTGTAGCAGCGAAGAGTGATGCTAACCTTGGGGGGGCGCTCCATGTTGCGAATGCGGCTCGGACCGCTTTTTGAAGCATATCTTTCACACCATATTCCTCAAGATCTGTTGTTCGGATCAGCTGGCCCACTTGCATGACAAAGGCTGACTGACAAGATGAGCGCCTTCATAGATGCTCGGCTGAGCCAATGGTGATAGAATAGAGCGTCATTTCCCAGTTGGGAGACCTTGCCCAGCTGACAATTATCAAATCTCAGGAGCAGAGCATCAGGAAGATCCATGAGCTGGTGGGCCAAGATTCTTGTGACCTTTCCCGTGCGCTTAGATGCATGCATGTGGACCTGCATGAGCCTCTTTCCTGCCCGACTGGCAGAACAAGTTGAATAGAGCTATGCACTGACCCCAACCCAGCCCTTTCGAGTTGAAACAGCTACCCCTGACTGGCCATGAGGTTTGGCCCGCAGGGTCTTGCCAACATGCAGTGGCCCCAGAGGGCAAAGGTGGCAACTGTCTCGCAGCGCTGAGGTTGAGGAGCCCTTTATTGTCTCGTTCGAGATGGCATGTGAAAGATCTGACTTCTTAGTCTTTTGGAATTTCCTCTACATTCAGAGATTTGATGCGATACTATTCCAAGATACTATGCAAGCCAGCCATGCATTCTTGCATTGCCTACTTGATGTCCAAAGCGCAGATGCTTGATTTTCTTCTCCTAGAAGCCATGTAAGAGGGGTGTCAGCCCTTATGGGCCTGTGGGCTCAAGAGTAGATAATTTGAGAGCAGCCCTCAACCTCCAGGACATCATACGTAAGCGGCACAACAATTTGAAATTGCAATGGAAGTCTTCGACGGGGCTCTCCTGAATCACATAGCAGCTTGTCAGCACTTAATGACCGCTGGCGTGTGCTTCTTCCTCGTGCCGGCAAAACCTGCTGGAGAAGATGCTAAGGCGTTTACCGATGGCCGCTTCCGCGCCGCGCAGCGCATTGTGGCCGGTGAGCCGGTGCTTGGGCTAGCAGAGAGGCCAAGGGTCCATGCATGGAAAAGGATGGACATGAGAGACGCAATATGCTGCAAAACTGCACGCCTTTGCGGTCGGTCAAAAAGTATCCTATGGCATTCCTCCCTAGAAACATGCACTTTCAAAAACGACAGATCTTGTTGGGCTGCGGAGCCAAGCTGGGATGGCCTAATCCTTGCATTTTTGCAGGACTTGCTGGACAGCCAGCGCTGCCCGAAAATGCTCATTCTTGCAGAAGTTTTTGGATGCTTGGATGTGCAAAAGTTTGTCAATGTTTGCCTTGCTATGAGTGTGCCATCACAGGACATAGGGAAGGCCAGCTGATCTCCCTCAGGACCAGGAGGCTTCCGATTCGATTTGGATGGCCTTCCACATACTACGAGCGCAAGACGGCATGTTGGAGGATGTGTACACTGCGCAGATGGCCCTGCTGCACGATGCGCCAGCAGGACGTGCAAGAGCTTGAGCAGCGTGGATGTGGAGGGAGAAAGTCATTGGATTTGTTGGAAAAGCTACAGGATTGCTCCTTTGGGATGAAGATGAGCTCT